TATAGTTTTACTATGTTAGTTAAAACCTTCCCTTTTTATTTAGACAAAAAGGGGAAATATGTGATATTTTGATTGCATTCTGACAATAAAATTTGCTTTGAGTCAGAGGGCAGACCTAGCCAGTAGCTGACCAAAACTAACCATAGAGGTTTCAGAGGACTGTGGACAGAGAGGCGGCAGGAGGTAAGTAGCAAGGCAGGGCTGAGAGAGGGTCCCAGTCCTTTTGGATGGAGAAACAGAAGTGGTGAGTTCACTGGTGGCTGCTCCATCGCTTTTCCGATCATTCAGGTTCTTACCCCAATATCTGACTCCTGATTTTTTTTTGTTCCTCACTAGTTTTTTTTATAACTTTTTAATCTGTTTCTATTAATCGATGTTTTCCTCATGGCTTTTTACCATTATCCCATTCTGTGTGTCCGAGTTATTCCGAGTCTCCTTGGTGTCTCCAGAGGGCCTAGATTCATCTCCCATTTCCTCTCTCTCTGCCCAGAAGTCCCGCCTATACCTCCTGTCTAGCTATTTGCCATTCAGCTCTTTACTAAACCAATCACACGGTGTACAAATATCCCACAACCACCATGCCCTGCCTACCATGATCCCTCTGCACCTTGTTGGGCACAACACTGGGATTGTGCTCTTTCCTCTGCCCACCACCTAGCTTTTCTCCCAGGTTCCCATTACCCACTGTTACTCACTCTGCTTGTCACTCGCTAGAGGTGTCCTGATGGCCTCTTTGGAATGACATCTCCATCCCCGCTTTCCAGCCTGCAGTCACCCCACCCACCTCTTCAGTATCCACTCATCTACCAAGTCCAGGTGAACCAAGAGTGTAGTTCCCGATACCTGAAGTCTACCCACAGCATAAAGTAGAACAGGTAGACTTTGTGGTTGTGGTTAGAATATTTAAAGCACTTTACACCTGCTTTCTCTGCCTCCTGGGTGCTGGGATAAGAGATGTGCGCCACCACAGCCTGGCTACTCCTGTCTTTTTTATTTGTTAAGAAAAAAAAAAAAAAAAAGATAGGACTTACAACATGGTTAAGTTCACACAAAGCCTGGCCCACCATCAAGGTACTTGATATCCCTTGTTATCCCTAGGGAAGCCCTTGGGGACCCAGACCACATTACACTATCATACTAAGAATTAATGTGCCCCTTCTGAACCTAAAGTAAGGCCAGGTGGTCAAGCCTGTGCTTCCAAGGCAGGGATTCCAGGTGAGAGCGAGTACACCCAGCCTACCCAGTAATTTCCCACACCAGAGCTCAGTGAACCACGAGCTCTCTCCCTCCCTCCCCGGGACGGGTCCCTTCTTTATGTAGTCCACGATGGCCTCAGCCTTGCAGCAACCCTTCCGCCTGGCTGAGTGCTGGGACTCAAGTTGCGCACCACGCCCAGATACCCTGTTTGTTCCGCCCCCCACACCTCACGTTGTCAAGGCTCAGGGCAGATGCAAACCACCTAACTCCTCACGCCTCCCCTGCGGGCCAAGCCTGTACACAACCCACCCAACACTACCCACATTGTTTGTTGTCCCCCAGCTTTCCCAACCTTTAGACCAGTGGTTCTCTACCTTCCTAACGCTTTGACCCTCTAATATGTTGTGGTGACCCCCAACCATACAATCATTTTTTATTGCTACTTCACAGCTGTAAATTTGCTAGTTATGAATCGTAATGTCAGTATGTGTTTTCTAATAGTCTTAGGTAACCCTTGTGAAAGGGGTTGTTTGACCCAAGGGGGTCACTACCCACAGGTTGAGAATCACTGCCTTGGAGGCCGTGAAAAGCAGCCAAAATAACTAAAACCTGACCTACCGAGGACACGTGACGTGTGGATTTTAACTGAACTTTTCCAACCCTAAGAGCCAGTCACCTTGGTTCCTGCACCTATCAGGAGACCCAGAGAACGGCATACAGACACAATCTGCTAGAACAGTCTTTATATAGAGCTCTTGTAGGGATCGGGGTGGACACGGTGAAGGTGTCAGGTGCCGGCTTCTACCTCTACCACCTCGGCCCAGCCACTGAAGCCCACGTCCTTGTGGATCAGCACCAGGCTGGGGCTAGGGGCTGGCTCCTCGGGCACCACAAAGCACTTTTCCTGGTTCTCAGAGATGGTGACCTCCACAATGCCCCCACTTGGGGGCACTTCCTGTTGGCTGCATGTGTCCCGCGGCTCTGGCTCACTTTGCAGGAGCACCATGGTGGGCTCGGAGGCAGCGGGAGGCAGAGGAGGGCTCGAGGAAACCCCATGCTGGTGACTGAGCTGGTGCCGCTTGAGGCTTTGAGGGAGGGCGTAGCCCATGCCACAGACAGGGCATCGGTGGGGCTTGTCTGTCATGTGGGACTTGAGGTGACGGCGCAGCTTGGTGGCCAGTGTGTAAGCTCGGCCACATTGCGGGCACCGAAAGGGCCTTTCCCCCGAGTGTAGGCGCTCATGAGCACGGAGGGTATGTGGGTCCCGGAGGGCCTTCCCACACACCGGGCACAGGTAGGCCTCGCCAGTGTGGGAGATGAGATGGCGCCGGAGCTCGGGAAGCTGGGGGAAGGTATTGGCGCAGTGTGGACATCGATACGGGCGCTCTCCCGTGTGCAGCCTCAAGTGCCCGCGGAGGTTGCCCCGCTGGCGGAATGCTCGGCCACAGTGCGGGCAGAGGAAGGGCTTTTCCCCGGTGTGGAGCCTCATGTGGTTCCGCAGTGAACCCTGGGTGGCCAGGAGCCGCCCGCACACTGGGCATGGGCACGGGGAAGGGGCATCTGGCATCTGGTGGGTCTTCCGGTGTAGCCGCAGGGAAGGCCGGCGGGCGAAGGCTTTGCCACACTGCTCACACACAAAGGGCCGGGCACC